ACCCACCTGCAAGCATTACCTTTCGGATAAAAAAATAATTATTAAAATCGGCCTACTAGCGGTGGAGTTATGCCGTATCACATATAAAAAAAATAAAAAACATACGGATGAATTGAGTACCTCTTTCTTTTGGGAATTCGCTCAAAAAGAACAATAAAATATAGCCTATGTTACTCACTGATTTCGCTTATTAATTGTGAAAGAATTTTTGAACTCAATCGAGTAGTTTTTAAATTATTTCAATACGTACAAAATACAAAAAAATACAAATCTTTCCTCTTTACAATATTAGTATAGGCATTACTAACATTTTCACTCGATTTTTTCCTTTTATTTAACTATCTAAAAATAGTTGTCGTTAAGTAGCACTATTGAATACAAACGATTTATTTAACTGATCCGGACAAATTGCCAACCCTAAAGTTTTAATCCGGTTCGAACCGGTTTCGGCACGTTCTATCCGCCCTAAACCGGTTCGTAACGCCGAAACGTACCGTCGTTATTCGAGATTAGCTCTTAAGCCTATCGTGTTAGCGAGCATTATCGGATACTTCACACGTTTGTTATGTAAACTGAAAGGAATTGAATGAAAAAATACAATTTTAAGTACTCAATGGGATATTACGTCATATTTTTCACATTCAAAGACATTGCCCCTGTTCCAAAACAATCATTTTTATTACAGACGAGCTGTTTCCATGCGGCTTTACCCGCATATGATCATAAAAAAACTTTATTTTATCGACAACTAAATAGTGTGTGTTTACGCTTCATTATATTAGTATAGATTTTATTAGTAAATTAAAATAATCTGTACTAATATTATAAAGAGGAGAGATTTGTGTTTTTGTATGCATTGTATTGGCTCGGGGGCTGCTGGGCCGATTTCAAATTCTTTAACCGTTGAAAAACGCGTTTGTGAGTAAAATAGTCTAATTATCTTTATTATTTTTATATGTTATAAATTAAGCGACCAGATACATAAATCTTGTAGGGTTTCTGTACCACTTATAACATTTCTTTATTGTACGTTTTAAATTTATGTTTTTGTCCAATAAATAAAAATAGATAGATTAAATTTCAATATACGGATCTTCAGTACCTTACATTTCTATACATCTAATAATAAAGAAGAAAGATTTATGTTTTTATTGTATGTTTTGACATAACTAAAAAAACTACTGGGCCCGCTACTACGCTACGTTATCAGTAACATGGGCATGTTTATTATTTTTTTAATTTCACGTAAAGTCGCGAGCAACAGCTAGTATTTTACACAACAAACAAACAAATAATAAGATGTCGTTAAATATATAAAACTGCAGCTGTTCCACCAACATCTACGATGAACAGGTGTCGTAAAGGGTTAAGACATCTGTAAATCAAGCACCCTCCGCCCGGGGGGTGTTAGTGTTGGGTAAACATCGATATCGATAAAAATCTTCCTGTTTATAGACACGAAATTAATAGTAAATTTATAACCCAATAAAAAAGTTATGTTTTAGTGAAAGTTTTATCGATACTTTAGGCATAAATTCTTATATAGTTAAAAAAAACTAAATATTTACTCATAATATTAAAATAAAAAATAAAATAAAAACCCTTTATTGGACTAAAAAATTGACAAAACTCATTGGGATTCTGTCTCCTGAACTAATTGAACAACTATTTTTCAGGAGACAGGACCTGCTGTTATACATTATCACATAATATAGTGTATTCATAATATTAATAATAAAGTGTATATGCTTAATTCTTATTGTTTAATTCAAACAACTTAATGTTAAGAAACATACTTAAATTTTAATTTAATTTATCGATAACACAGAACAATCAGTCCCATCACTAAATCTGTAGAAGACGTTTTATTTAAGTGGAAAGCTTTCAAACGGGAACAATATCGCATCGCAATAATAGAGAGAAAGAATCGCTTTTAGTGGTCGCTCTTTCACACGTGTAATTCTAGAATGTTCTGAGTTTTAACTAAAGAACTATATATTTATAGTAGTCCCTTAAAAGTGTCAATATATGAAAAAAAATATATAACAAGCGAGCGACCACCTGAATCCGCCTTAACACTGCGGCAAGTAAAACCACAATTCTTCATATGGTGCGGCGGCGGGCCAAAATGCGCCCCCAATATTTCCGCCAGCGTGGCCGGTCTTTTTAGACCCACCAGTACTGGGATACCTTAAATTGGTATAACTTTGTAGCAACATAATGTATACATTTTATGTATACACCTGAGACAATTGTTTCGCACTACCGATAGGGACATAGTTCTCTTCTTCCGCATCAGCTTAAGTACTGCGCCAGGCCGATATCGGCCTGTTACACAGTGAGTTAACGGCAAAACGACCGTTGCGATTAGACATCCGCAATTGTAAACGCGTTGCCTATTCTTAATCGACGGAGATGCACTTAAAGGGGATATTTCCCCTTCTTATACATCTCCTCTACCATCATTCACTTTCCTTTCCCATCGTATCCTTATACGTAAATGTTGAGAAGGGTATGGGACTAATATAAGCCTCCGGCACTCAATAAAGTGTACGCTGGATTGCTTCCACTTCCCGTCTTCTGTGTGGTTGTGGTGTTGGGAGTAATCCCTATAATGAGAACATAAAGCGAGCTCTACCACTGTTAAAGTGTAAAAAAAATCTACTATTATTTTTATCTAAAAAAAAGATACTGTTCTCAAATACTTGATAACAGTTATTTTAATAGCAGCCCCCTTATCAGTTTTGAAACAGACAAATTAGTTAAATAAAACTGTTTAAATGCCATAACAAAGCATATCTTCGATTGACCTTTCTAGATAAAGAACCTCGTATAGTTGTAAATAATATTTAAAACGTCCAATGAATTATCACGAATTTAAAACAGTTAAGAGCGCACGCAATTTTTTTTTTATAATACAAGGTGGCAAACGAGCAAGCGGCCTGAATCCACCGAAATGGAAAGCGACCGCTGCCCATAAACATCCGCAATTCCAGTGTGCCTACCCTTAACTGACGTAGGAGTCGCACATAAAGAGAACATTTCCCCCTATTCATCTCTTCCACCATCAAATCCAGTTTTCCTTCTTATCCTATCTTCTTTAAAATAGGGTGGAAAGGGAAAGGAACTAAAATTAGGCCTCCGGCACCACACTCATCAGACGAAACGAGGAATTGCTGTTCACGCCTGTTTTCTGTGTGGTCGTGATATTACTCCGGGAGAGCCGGCCCATTCGTGCGAAGATGTTAAAGCGGGCTCTACCACTGTTAATACTCGCAAAGCAATACTAGATTTCGTAAGTCTATGTCTTCTTCCGGACTATTTTCTACAACTATGCCTTTCATCGATATCCGTACAGCAGTTTAGGCTACTCAAACATCCATCTAAACTTTCGCATTTAGATGATTAAGAAGTGAGTTTGATAGCGAGGTCATCTGCTTTGAACTTTTACGGGCGCACCTCTGACTATACTATTGCATAATAGCTGTGCGATTGTCGATTGTTTTGCAGGCCATTCAACTGTTTAGTTACACAACCAAAAATCGAGTAGTGTTCACCTCCATATAACCTCATAGATTTCAACGCACGACTAAACAGTTGTCGGATAACAATAATTATATATTTTTTTAATTGTCTCTTTTGCATACATTTCATGGAAGTTTTGGCTCCTGTAGGTTGCCATGTGTCACATAAGCCAATTTCTTTTCATTGCAATTCAATAATGGATAGTTTAGTCAAATTTTCATTTTCATTTTCATCTTCGCACTGTAGGGCCGGCTCGCCCGGTGTAATACCACGACCACACAGGAAACAGGCGTGAACAGCAATTCCGCGTTTTGTCTGTTGAGTGTGTTACCGGAGGCCTAATTTTAGTTCCTTTCCCTTTCCACTCTTTCCTTAATAGGAAAGGATGGGAAGGAAAAGTGGATTTGACGGTGGAGGAGACGCATAGGAAGGGGAAATATCCTCTTTATGTGCGTCTCCTCCTCCAGTTAAGGGTAGGCAACGCAGCTGCAATTGCGGATGTTTATGGGCAGCGGTCGCTTTCCATTTCGGCCGCTTGCTCGTTTGCCACTTCATATTATAAAAAAAATCATTATTAAAAATCATATTATATAAAAGTAATCACAGATACTCAAGACAACCTTGACAAAGTAGCGATGGCAGATAGAAATGTCGACGACTGCATCTATGAACCTCTTCGATGTTGTATTTCGTAAATCGCTTAGCGATTAAAACATTAATTATCGAAAATTTACATCGCTTTATGTACTTCAGACCTTATTTCCTCGTACAACGCCACGCTTATAAAGTCACAGTTTTTTTTTTTTTTTTGTCAATTTATAGCAATTAGTTATGTTTATGCATGCTTATCAAAAATGATATTATTAAGGCGGTAATACACATGCCAGTAACATTAATAAAACTTTATAGTAGACCTGTTGGTACAAAACTTCGTACTCCTCGAAGTCACTCAACTAAGAGGGACGTAATCACAATCCATCTTCTATCTATATCTATACATGTAATAAAATTGGAGTGTCTGTTATATAAAAAAATACCAGATTTCGGGAAGATGATGTATTTGCGTTGCTGATAACTCGCATTTAAAAAAATGTCTGTCCGCAAGCCGCATTTGTTTGACTTTCACTGGAGGGTAGTTGACGTAGACGGGCATATTATAGGCTACTTTTTTTTTTAATTCCGCGCTATCAAAATAGCGACTGGAGCCCTATCTCTGGAACGGGTGGACCAATTTGTATGGGACTTTGACTGGAACGTAGCTGGTAAAAGGTAGACGCACAAGGGAATGTTCTGTGCTAACGAAGATTGCGGGGACATCTCGTATTAACACATATTACTACTACTGACATACCTGGTTAGCGTTCACATGTAGCTGGTACATGCCAATATCTGGCGTACAAATGTGCCACTTGTATTCCCAGCCTTATTTTCTCTATATCTTTGTAAGCGTTACGTATCCGTATCGAGTAATCTTGTGCAGTGGTCGTTTTCAACATGGTGTATTTTTTAATTATTATAACGGTTTTACTTACAATTTTTCAATACTTTACCAGAAATTTCGATTATTGGAAGAAGCGAAAAGTTATCGGACCCAAACCGGTGCCATTATTCGGTAATATAATTGACTCCGTATTACGAAGAAAGCCTCAAGTAATGGTTTACAAAAGCATCTACGAATCATATCCAAATGAAAAACTTGTCGGAATTTACAGAACGACGACCCCGTCTTTATTGATACGAGATTTGGATTTAATAAAGCATGTGTTAATCAAAGATTTCGATACATTCGCTGATAGAGGAGTCGAATTCAGCATCGAAGGTCTAGGAGCGAACATATTCCATGCTGACGGTGACAGGTGGAAAGCGTTAAGAAACCGTTTCACGCCTCTCTTCACTTCCGGAAAGCTTAAAAACATGTTGCCTTTAATGTTACAATCTGGAGACAAGTTTATGAAACACGTAGATGATGTAATTAAAAAAGAAACTGAACAATCTATTCATGATTTAGTTCAGAAATATACTATAGCTAATATAGTAGCCTGTGCGTTTGGTATTGACATAAACGAAGATATGTTGAAAACACTAGAAGATATGGACAAATATATAATAACTGTAAACTACAGCGCAGAGCTTGACATGATGTATCCAGGTATATTAAAAAAGCTAAACAGTTCTCTATTCCCGAAGGTGGTAAGTAAATTCTTTGACAAACTAACGAAAGACGTAATCCAACTGAGAGGAGGGAAGCCAACAAATAAGAAGGATTTGATTGATTTAATACTTGAATTAAGACAGAAGAAAACAATTGAAGCATCAAAGAAATATAACAAAGAAGATGTGAAATATCTTGAATTAACAGAGAGTGTGATATCAGCCCAGATATTTATCTTCTATATGGCTGGCTATGAGACCAGTGCTACAACAATATCCTATTTATTTTACGAAATAGCAAAAAACCCTGAAATACAAGAGAAACTTATCAAAGAAATAGATGACGTTCTTTCCCGTCATAATGGTATAACCTATGATTGTTTAAACGAAATGATTTATTTGAACAAAGTATTTAATGAGACTTTAAGGAAATATCCAGTTGGAGATTTTATGCAACGCAACGCTAACACAGATTATAAATTCCCAGGAACTGAAATCACTATTAAGAAAGGGAAAACAGTTATTATATCAACATGGGGAATCCATAACGACCCTAAATATTATCCAGAACCAGAAAAATTTGACCCTGAACGTTTTAATATGGATAATATGAAAACTAGACATCATTGTGCGTATATACCATTCAGTGCTGGTCCTAGAAATTGCATCGGTAGGTACATTTTTGTACTTAGTTCTTGTTTTGTCTTTAAAACCTAGAAATATGTAGACATAGACGTAGTCTACATAACCATCCAAGCAAACACACATGCATCAGCTACCTATTGTGTCACATAAAATAATTAGCTATACTAATATTATAAAGAGGAAAAATCTGAGTTTTTACACATTTGTATTGAAATAACTCAAAAACTACTGGGTTGATTTAAAAAATTCTTTCACCGTTAGAAAGGTAATTTATCTGTGAGTAACATAGGCTATATATATTTTCCACGCGGAAGAAGTCGGGAGCAACAGCTAGTAAATAATGTGTTGTGTTGCGCTACACCGGTACTGTACCGATTCCTTAACAATACAAAGGTAAAGGAAAAAGAAAAATATAGGGAATTTAAGGCAAGTTGATGATAAAATTGCTTAATTTATTTAGATAGTAGCTTATGCCCGCGAATCCGTTCGTGTGGAATTTAAAAAATAAACAATTGCAATTAGTCTATGTGTTCTTCCAGACTCTCCTCTACACCTATCCCAATTTTCATCCAAATCCGTTCAGGCGTTTAGGCTACAAACTCTAAGAAACATTTTCGAAACGGATTTCGATGAAATTTGGGATAGGTGTACAGGAGAGTTTGGAAGAACACATAGGCTTGCATTTGTTTATTTCTTATTTCTTGGCGGACGGAGTCGCTTGCGAAAGCTAGTTTATAATATTAGTATGATCAAAGTTTTATTACGTTTTTCAGGTATGAGGTTCGCGAAGTTGCAGTCCCTAGTTTGCATAGTAAGGTTCTTATCAAAATTCCGCGTTGAACCATCAGAAAAGACACCTTTAGAATTTAAATATGACCCGATGCGTCTTTTCGTCCTCCCTAAAGGTGGTATTCATGTGAATGTTATACGCAGATAACCTGGTATTTTTTACGTATGATTATTTGGATTATTCCCAACTGTCACCCTCTTTGTCCCCACGTGGGAATGAGAGTAAAAAGTTTCATCCGTCCCAACTTTTGCTATGAGAGGACGGTTGGAACTTATTTTATTTCTTAACGGTTCCATGTCACTTTATTGGTGATAGTGGGACTAAAAGGTGGGACGGATGAAACGTTTTATTCTCACGTGGGGACAGAGCGGGTGACAGTTGGGAATAATCCGGTTATTTTATATAAATAAATTAAAAATCTAATTTAAATGAATTGTTTTTATTTTTAATAATGACAACCCAAAATTGAAAACATTTTAATTAAAAAACAAAAATCACGACTATCTAGTTTGTGAATAGCGCCATCTATTAGCCGATTTGTAAAACGAAAATTTAAATCTATACTAACATAATAAAGCATACACACACTACTTTAATCTCAACATTTTCTGAACAATACTCTCTTTAATAAAAAGCCCTACACTTACGACACGCTTTAGGCTATTTATTTTCAGGCTATTAAACTTAGGGGCTAAATATATTAGAAAAAAACCGGCTTGTGGAAAAGAGACTGTAAGCTTCTGCCAACATGAAGGAAGCAAGGTTATTATGGTAACGGTAATTTAAACATTTGTAATTGAGGATTTCTAAAAAAAAGTTTTTATAATTTTATGCGGAGAAGCCGCAGTAATAATGTGGTAACATTTTCATGTTTAATAATATTAAAAATATAGTTTTTTGAAAACTAAATACTGAAGGGTTTGTATTTTTGACCGACTTCCCAAAAGAAGGAGGTATTCAATTCGTCTGTATGTTTTTTTATGTGTGTTACGGCATAACTCCGCCGCTAGTGGAGCGATTTTGATAATTCTTTTTTTTATCCAAAAGGTAGTGCTAGAGTCAAGGACTACGACGTAGTTAAATAGTTTAGCTTAAAATCGCGTGACGAAATTTAGGGTCATTTTTGTTTTCTTTGCTTACGTAGCCTAAACTATAAGACTTACATAAAAATGATGTATGGAAGAATTGTAACCCTTTAAATTTTTCATGGAAGCATGTGTGCAAACACAGAAACTTTTAAACTCTTTGTATCGTATAACTGACGATTTATTCGACGATTTTAAAAGAACTAGGTTAAAAGGTTGAACCCTTTTATGTCCAGAGCTTTGTTATGAAAACGTACAGAAACATTCTACGCTAGTGTTTGTACAAGGTACCCGCTTTAACATCGAAGGCTTGAAATGGAAGCGATTCCGTGACTCGTGAATCGTGTTAACAGTCTAATTTTTGTCAAAGTAGATTCAATACTTAAACGTTAATATACCTTCAATTGTCAATTGTTATGGTAAAAATGTAGAAAGCCTTACGTAGAAATATCACTGCATACCTTGACTGACACCGACATCAAAGTCATAATTGTACAATATAGACATAACAGCTACAATAAGGGAGGTTACTATTTTCGAGGAATTATTTCGTTACTTTTTAGTGTACTGTTTTTTTTGGAGAACATTTTGTTTGGAATTCGTTTTTTTTTTTCATTATAATCTTCTATCCTTTTCGTCAAAGGGAAAGGAGTAAATTTTGTTTAGGATGTGCATAGGAGAAATTATTTCTTTCCTTCTACAAATGCAGTCTATTCAGTTCGCTTCGCTATTTTAGCGAATTCAGGTCATTTTTTCTATCAGAAAAATAATCTATTTCGTCTTTGTTTCAGATATATCGACTTATACAACATTGGGCGTTATATTCAATCACAATCACTCACCGGGTCGGATAAATTAGTCGGACTATAATTAATGAGTGATGTTTGGCAGCTCAATGTTAAATGGTTATGTTATAAAGTGGTCAAAGTGTTTGTGAGATGCGAGACGGTTCTGTACCCGGGCCCAGCACTGGGTCTAACGAGCAAGCTTATGACAAGGATTTCGAAGGTAAGATGACAGTTGGCTTAATGGCATATTGACAGTCATAGGTTGGAGTACAATGGTTATACGTGGGAAGAACCAAACGTTTTTTTATAATATAAGGTAGCAAACGAGCAAGCGGCCACCTGAATCCACCTAAAAGCGACCGCTGCACATAAACATCCGCAATTGCAGATGCGTTGCCTACCCTTGATTGGAGACGCACATAAAGAGGACATTTCCCCTTCCTATGCGTCTCCTCCACCGTCAAATCCACTTTTCCTTCCCATCCTTCCCTCTTAAGAAAAGGGTGGTAAAGAGAAAGGGACTTAAATTAGGCCTCCGGCACCACACTCATCAGACGAAACGCGGAATTGCTTTCCACGTCTGTTTTCTGTGTGGTGTTCACTTATCATAATTCTCGCCCGTGACTGTCCTCGCAGAATTAAAAACATAAGTAAGTAGCCTTGTTCGTCCAGACTGTGTTCTCATCTATCTGTGTTGACATCTATGGCAAGTTTCATCCAGTTAAATTTAACTGTTTAGACTACAAACTCTAACAATGATCCATCAAACCTTTCGCATTTATAATCTTACTAATATTATCTTAAAGATAAGATATTAGTAAGAACTAATATTATAAATTTAAAGGTTCAGATGAATGTTTGTTAGAGTTTGTAGCCTAAACGGATGAACGGATTTCGATGAAATTTGGCATACATGTAGAGGATAGTCTGGAAGAACACATAGGCTATTCACTTTTGTTTTTTTTCATTACACGCCTACGGAGTCGCGGGCAAAAGCTAGTTTTAAGTATAAAGTATGACTAGTTCCGCCCGTAATTATTTTCGCGCGAAATTTTGAAGAACGTAAGTAAGTAGCTATGTTTTCTTCCAGTTTCTTCTTCTTCCAGTTATTCTACATGTATGACAAAATTTAATCGAGATCCGTTCAGCAGTTTAGGCTACAAACACACACCCATCCATACAAACTTTCGTAGGCCAGGCTTTGTAAGAGAGCACACATTTATCTAAACTACAACTGTTAAGACGCGCTTTGATTCCTATGAGGTTATATGGAGGTACACTCCTCGATTTTTAGTTGTGCAACTAAATAGTTGAATTGCGAAACAATTGACAATCGAACAGTTGTACGATAGATTAGGAAAAGGCTTACTAGATTACTAGCGCTTGTTAGTGTTCAAATGCCAGTTGTTGACTAGTATTTTTGAGCGCTACTGTCCAACTGTTTTGGCCAAGTGTCAGCCAAACGCTAACCTAAATATCTTTTTACACGAAATATATTGTCATATTTCATTTAATGTAATTTTACACGCCGTTGATTCTGAAAATTGTGTAAGAAATTCGTACATTTTCTGCGTTTCATATAATATTAACTAGCTGTTTCTCGCGACTTCGTCCGCGTGAAATTTAAAAATATCGCCTATGTTCTGATTACGCAGCCTTTTAATGGTGTAATATTTTTTTTAAATCGGCCTAGTAGTTTTTAAATTATTTGAATTGAATCCAATATGTAAGACCGTCGTAAGACTTGTCATGATGTATGGATCTGAATGTTGGGCAGTAAAAGGGACGGGTGAAAGGAGATACATGTGGCGGAAATGCGAATGTCAAGATGGAGGTGTGGAGTAATACGATTGGATAAGATACGAAATGAATTGAGTAAATAAGGAGTAAAAGGTTAGTATGGGCATGTTATGAGAAGGGATGGATCGCATGTAACAAGACGGACGTTAGTTATGAATGTGGAGGTACACCGGTAGAAGTAGACATAGAAAGAGATGGATTGCGTGAAAGGTGACATGATCAAGAAGGGAGTGATGACTGAGATGTCGGATGATAGAGTGCTTTGGAGGACGAAAACCCGGTGCGCCGACCCTACGGGAGTAGGATGAGGCAGGGGAGATGATGATGAATTCAATACGTCCAAAAAAACACATTCTTCCTCTTTATAATATTGTATAAATATGTTTTTAAACTCATTGGGTAGTAACAAAAATTTCGATATAGACAGGCTACTAATTTAATGCATAGACGAAGTCGGGCGAAGGCTAGTATATTTTCTGCTAAAATAATAATTATTAACTTAACCAACACCCACACAGCCTTCGTTTCAAATAAGTAATTTTGAGGATTGTTTTCTGAGAAGATAAAATTAAAGGTGCGGTCACACTGAACTGAAAAAAAAAATGAACTAGTAACTAAGTATTTTTGTAGGGCACAATGTGTACATTAGTTATTGACTGACTTTCCAAAAGAAGGAGGAACTCAATTCGACTTTTTTTTATTTTTTATATGTATTACGGCATAACTCCGCCGCTAGTGAATTTTGGTAATTCTTTTTTTATCCGAAAGGTAATGCTTGCAGGTGGGTCCCATTTTTTTGTTTGATTTTTGGAGTCAAAGGCTACGACGTAGTTAAATAGTTTTTATTGTAAATGTTAGAGATTACTGTTAACCTCAGTTTACTATCTCACTAGACATATAAACTGACAAAGAGGAGCAAAATAAATACATTTTTTTTTTCAAATAAACAGCATTTAATATTCTATTAACTCAAAGATTAATGTTTTTTAATTTGCAATTTAATTATTTTCTTAGTTAGGTTTTGAACCTTACTAATATTATAAATGCGAAAGTTTAGATGGATGTTTGTTAGAGTTTGTAG